CTGTTCAAACTTCTCGCCCCACGAGTCGAACAGTCCGGGACACTCGTGCGGACACATGAGTGACCACATGCCGTCCGCCTCCACCCGTTTCATGAACAGGTCGGGCACCCATAGGGCCAGAAACAGGTCGCGCGCGCGTTGCTCTTCGGCGCCGTGATTCTTGCGCAGATCCAGGAACTGGAATATGTCTGCGTGCCACGGCTCGATGTAGATCGCAAACGCACCTGGATAATGTCAACCATGGTCAGTTAATAATAACGGGGTTTATAATTAGTAAAAATAATTATAATTTCAATGATTGTGATATTAAACAGTAATGAGACAGCGAATAGGGTTGGGAACAAATAGACAATAATGAGATATAATACCGGGCCGTTTGTTGCCTCCCTGGTCCACATATCGGGCCACGTTGTTATAGCACCGGAGCATTGGTACCAAACCGTTGGATATGCCGTTCGTGCCGTTGATGGGAGTGCCGGCCGCGCGGATACAATGCACGTTCAGTCCTATACCGCCGGCCGCTTTCGATATGACCGCGCATTGCTTTAACGTATCGAATATGCCTTCAATCGAGTCCTCAGACATCGTTAAGAGGAAACAAGAGGACAGTTGCGGTCGTGGAGTACCTGCGGGGGTGCGGACACAGAAGGATACCACAGTTAGCAATACTATAGACAAGTGATTTAGTGGTCACACAACACAACATACCGGCGTTGAAGAGTGTGGGACTCGCGTGAGTGAACCAGCGATCGGACATCAGGTTATAGGTCTCGATGGCGGCGTCAATATCCTGGCCGTGAATACCCACCGCCGCCCTCATCAGCAAGTGTTGCGGGCGCTCAACAATCTTACCGCCGATGCGCAACAGATAACTCCTCTCCAGAGTCTTGAAGCCGAAGTACTGGTAGTGAAAGTCGCGGTCGTAGATAATGGCAGAGTTGAGGCGCTCGGCGTTGTCCATCACCACGCGATAGGTCTCCTCCGAGATGAGCGGTGTTTTGCGGCCATTGGCGGCGTCTGTCACGGCATACAGCGCTCGGATCACGTCCGAGAAGTTCTTCGTCGTCTCTTTGTGGAGATTAGAGACGGCTATACGGGCGGCGAGTTTGGCGTAATCGGCGTGTTTGGTGGTCATCGTGGCGGCGATCTCTGCGGCCAACTCGTCCAACTGGACAGTAGTGACGCCCGAATAGAGGCCGGCGATCACTTTCAACGTGATGGCCGTCGGGTCCACGAAACGGGTGTCCAACTCGTAGCTCAGTTTCACGATTCTTGAGGTGATCTTATCAAACATTATCGACTCGTGGCGGCCGTCCCTCTTCACCACATACATCGCTCCCAACGGCAGACCATTGCCCGTCGCGGCAACCGGTCTGTCAACTGATCCAGAGGTTCCGTTGGTGGCGGCGGTAGTGTTGGTGGCGGTAGTCTTGAAGGCGGCGGTGGCGGTGCTGTTGGCGTCGGCGCCGGCCGTCTCGGGGGTACTCGTAATGGCCATAACTGGTTGACTGACTTTAACGGTGAGATTGTATTGAAAAATACAATTCAATTGCGATTCAAATGTTGTGTGAATTGAGATCTGAATTGAATGACAAGTGAAACACAAATGATTTCGTTTTCGCTTCACTTTTCTCTGTTTTGTTATGCTTTTAAGCGCCAAATGTTATCCATAGATACACTACAACTCCCGTATAGAGTCGTGTGTTTGATTTTAAATTGTTCATTTAATCATTATTAGTAAAGTAGTTGTTAGTTATAGAGTGATTGAGTTAATAATATTTATCAAGGTAATCTTACTGTACATTGCACATGGCGTTAAATACGCTAAATTCAGTTTTAGTGTATATGTGTTGGGTGTTTGACTGTATACTATTGCATATACCATAAATATACAGCGCCTGCGTTATTATAACGGTAAAGGTTTTGAAATTTTTAAAATACGTAATGATTTAAGCGCTTTATTCAAACATACTGTATTGTATCATTGCATAGAAAATGTACAAGTTTATTACTATGTTGAATAATTAATTAAATGAGATTGAATTACAGTAATAAGTAATCGTCATAACCTCTATAAAACCATATTTGACTTACAAATACTGTGCTATCCATAATATAAGCATTTTGTTTATAATAAATAGAGTATTTCACATGGTACACTTTTAGGCTAAAATGTCCCTTGATGTTATTAGACCGCCCCCGCAACCACGTTTAAACATCTCATTTATTGTGTTAAAATTTTCGGTCATTATAGCACTTACCATCATATTATTCATATTTATAGCTTCATTATTCATTACACTATGGATGGCAATGAAAGGCAAATTTGATCACAAGTATACTGGCTATGTCTTAACTCTAGCCATTGGGGTAAGTGTTACAAAAATTTATATAAATAATCTTACAATGTTTATAATATAATTAATTAGCCTGATAAAATTATGTAAATAAAATAACAATCTAGTTAATTTATATTTCAGATACAGCTCATGTTTACCCTGTGTGGTATGAAAGGTGCTTTTGAACACCATAATCGTTGCCTCATTACTTTCAACGTTGTTATGTTGTTTGAATTTGGTCTGTGTTTTGTGGTGGAAATATACCCGCATTTCATAATACCAATGCTAATACACTTAGCCATCATGTTTTTGGCATCTATACTGTCTTATCAGATATTTTTGAAAGTTGGCCATCAAATAACATACCAGAGTATTGAACAACAGGAACATTTTGAAGACAAAATTCAACTACAATAAATTGTTTAAATTAAAATTTCTATATTGTAGTTTACATGCCCATTGTCCACATATAATTGTACCATGATCATTTGTTTAAATAAAATATTTATTATAACATTTATGTTTTAAATATAACACTCTAAACACTAACAAATATTTAAAAATCCAATCTCTGTCAACATTTTGTTTATTAATGTATGTTATGATAATAAAATCAATTTTATGTATTATTAACTTTACATAATGAATTATATCGATTTCATCAATACCATAATAATATTTCAAATTAAATATCTAATAGCATGTTTATAATTGCTTTTAAAAGTATTTATATTTAAATAACAAGATTTAAATTACGATAAATAAATGACTTGTTTTTTAAATATAATTCTTAGATAACAATTTTAATTTGAAATTGTAAATATAATTGTTCTATGTCAAAAATAAGCATTAATAAATCATATAAATTATAAACATTTTATCAAATACAATTATACCGTTATATAGTTTTGATTTTAAATTAAAAATACTGCATTCGTTAAATTATCTATTATTATAATAAATAATTATTTATAGTTTAAATAAAGTAAATAATCATCATAATTATAAATTTTTAAAGTCAAATATATTGATCTGATAATATTTAAAAGGTCCTTAAAGATTCTTTTATAAATCAGACACAAATGTTTAATACCAGAAATACCAGGGTGATTTCTAAATAAAAATTATTATTATGAATTAGTTTAAAAAATCTATTTAAAAATACTTACAATTCGCGAATGTGTGCACATAAACACAATTATTTCCACAATCCACACAATTAAAGCGAGAGTTAACTTTGCAAACCAAAGCTGAATGAATAACTTAATATCAGTTATGGTAAGTTTATTAAATGTATTCGCATCGTTTCTGGGCTTATAGTTTGCATCATCCGGATATATATCACGGTCTATGATCATGTTAACTCTCGTACGCCATAACAACGCACCCGACTCGTGGATCATTGTTAACCTGGTAGAGTGTGACATGAATTAAATATTTGTTTTAATAATAAAGGTCATTAAGTTTACATTGTTGTAAACTTTTGCTTAATGTCGGACTGCCATCCCTTGCGGACCACAACACCGCTTACGCCTAACATTGTCTTTTGGTCGGCGATATGGAGGGGTAACCACGGGCTCAGATCTAGGATTTCATCAATAACTGCCTCGTCATCTATTAACACGTGGTCGCCGGCTATTATTGGATCCAGAAATCTCATATCGTTCATCTCCGTCGTTTTATATAACTCGTAAGGGGTGATTCGCAAATTACGTTCGCACTTGGGGGGAGGGGGGGGGTCGGCCAAAGCGAACTTTTGCAGAT